AAAAAAAAAAAAAAAAAATTTAAAAAATAAAGCAATTATTGTATTTGTTCTTCTTTCATGAATTGAATGAAAGACAAACTTGATGTTTTGTGTCATGTTATCATTTACTAATGAGGATTTGATTTGGGTGCTCAGAACCCCCCAAAATTTCGTATCACAATAATCATTCATTCATAACATAGCCCACACCTGTCTGGAATCCATACTCAATAGTCACCTGGCTAGGCTTTTCACTTGGGTCAGGGTTTAAAGCCAAGTTCTGACGTAACAAATACTTGGCTGTGGGTTACAGCCTATTTAGATAGGCAGATGGATGACTATGTCCAATACATTTGCAACCATATTCTGTCTTTTTTTTTTTTCTTTTTTTCTTTTTGGAGACAGGGTCTCGTCTGTCACCTAGGCTGACACCTAGTGGCGTGATCTTGGCTCACTGCAACCTCCACCTCCCGGGCTCAAGTGATCATCCTGCCTTAGCCTCTCAAGTAGCTGGGACTACAGGTAGATACCACCATGCCTGGCTAATTTTTGTCTTTTTTGTAGAGAAGGGGTTTTACCATGTTGCCCAGGCTGATCTGGAACTCCTGTGCTCAAGCAATCTGCCTGCCTGGGGATGCCAAAGTGCTGGGATTACAGGCATAAGTCATCGTGCCAGGCCGCAAATGTATTTTGTCATTGCATCAATGATAAAAAATCAGCTGCAGTGGTTTACAATTTAACATCTTACTCTATGCCCCAGATCTAGAAACAAATTGTTTTACTAAATTGAATTGTTTTAGTTTTGTTTAAACTAAAATCTATGACTATTAATAAATACTAGGTCTAATAACCTTAGGGAAGGAATATGTATTTAGAAAAAAGTGTTGTTCTCCTTCAAAATTAATTGGGCCAAACACAATCAGAAGTGAGAGAACAAAAAAAGTGTTAACCTTGGATCATCCTTTCTTGCCATGGAATTGTACAAATGTACAAGAATGAAGAGTAGAGGGTTTGACGCTGGGAGGTATGGAAAGCTTCCAGCACATAAGAATACTGAAGCAACATGACAATAAGAGTCATGCCAAGCTAAAAACCCATTTCCCCAAATTCCTAAACAGAACCATGTGTGTCTTCCATAGGCCCAGAGAAACAAATTATGTCAAATTGCTTATCACACAGTATTTTTGCTCATATGTTGTTCAACAAATATTTATTAAAAATTTATTCTTACTATGTCTAGATAGGCATTATGCTACATATTGGGGACATATCCATCAACAAATAGATATGGCCTTATTGAAGCTTACAATTTAGTGGAAAAATGAAAAATCAAATAATAATCACTCCAAAAAGGACTATAAAGGAAAAGAACAAGTAATAACAAAAGAGGATTACAGGACACTCTGATATTAACCATGGGATCAAAAGAAAGCTTCCCTTAAAAAGTGGCACTTAAAACGTAAAGTATGAGTGGCAATTACTTACAAATCTTTCTTTCTTGCTAGAATATATGAGACTCTAGCTAGAGACTCTTTCATTTTTGCTGTTTATATTTTCAACCCTAGTATATAAGAGGTACTTAATGGATAAATAAATGGAGAGATGAAGGAATCTTTACTGTTTTCCTTTTGACTGGAAACTTACTGAATACCTTCCTTAATAGATCCATCAGCATAGCATACAAGGCATATATAACTTAGAATAGCAAAGAGGAAGAAGAATGCTGAGGTCACGTAATATGTGTTCATAAGCACAAATGGAATACTCATTGCAAAAAAATGTAAAGGGAATTTCATGAAAGAAGGAACCAGAATGTTGTTGACTGGCTTACAGCTGTCCTCTGTTGATTTTGTCTGACCAACATCCACCTCCCCTTCTTCTGGCAAAAGCAGCCCTTTTGTCCTCCTGAGAACCTCCCTCCTCTCCATACATGTGGATCGCAATGGGCATGACTCTGCTTCCTGGTGTTAAGAGGTGATCCACGTTTGGCCAATAAAAATGGTCCTTGTCAAAATCCTTCCCAGCACTTCTGGAACTATCAGAAAAGAGGCACTCTCTCCTTCTGAGATTGTGAGTGCTAAGAACCATGTATGCAAAGAGCTGCCACTGGTCTTCTCTGTTGATGGATCCTGCCTGAGAACGCAGACAATTGAGAGGACAAACACAGCAGTGACAAGAGATTGAGAGGGAAGGAGCAAAAAGGAGAGAAGAGAGGAGTCCTAGTGAAGAGTCGACGGAATAATCAGACATAGAAAAAGAAATTACTATGAAATCCGGCAAATCCCATGAAAGAATATGAACTATCTGTATTAGGAACACAAAGATAACAGCAACCAACTCTGCCTGGGGCAGAAGGGAAATGCTTCACAAAGATGATGATATTTGAGCAGAGGAAGAACAAGGCGGCGGTGAAGGGCATTAAAGTGAAGAAACCATGCAAAGGCAGCCACAAAAAGGTCTGGTAGTTTTGAAGGAAAATAAGAAATTCAGTATTGATCAAACAGATTACAAGAAGGTGGGGGCAAGAGGTGGGAGCAAAGGGACTCAAACTGGGAGTTGATAAATTAATAAAATGGAAAAAGTATGTATATATTGGAGAAGTGAGATTAAAAGTTATTAAAAAATCAACAAAGTATTCAAATTAATTTAAAAATTCAACTAGGCCAGATACAAGATCAACTTTGAGAGATAAATAAATAGCATTTCTCCTTAGCAGCACTAACCAACAATAGTAGATTATCAAAAACAAAATAGCATTTTGCAAGACTGCCAGAATAACTAGAATGTTTGGAAATTAAGAAGTCGTAGGACCTCTATGAAGAAAACATTTTAAAAGGACACAGTGGATGATCTGAACAGAATGACAATACTATGAAGATAATAATTCTACCTAGATTAATACAGAAAGTCAACAAATCACCACCAAAATCCTCACTGGACTTTTCTGAGGAACCGCATAAATTGACTCACTTTTATGAAATAATAAACAAATAGCCAAGTCAACCTTGACAATAAAGAGTGAAGAGGGGCACTTTCCCTACTGCATATCAAGCCACACTATACAGCTGTAGTAAGAAAACAGCATGGTATTTGTACAAGAAATAAACAAACCAAAGGACCCCAATTGATAATTCAAAGACAGACGTGTGTATATATGGAAATAATATACAATA